TTTAAACTAGTATATAAAAACTCTATCATTCTGTTCTAATAGCTGAAACATATTCCTGTGAGTTTCATTTGTCGAATGAACTGTTTGTCAAATACAGAATGCATATATTTTAGAATAATTTTCTTTTTAAAATGTGGATGAAATGTTTTGCTTTTAATGTATTTTTTATGTATTGTTTTTATTTTATAACTTTGAACTAAACAGATTTTCTATTAGCTTCAGATCTTGATCAAAGTTAGGCACCCAGTTCATAGGAGTACTTATATTGATTTTCTGACATCTTGTTTTCTGTAAAGATTTTATTGGTAGGTTTGCAAATGTGTATCAGACTGTGCAATCTCTCCATGAGTTGGTTTTGAAACCCAGTATGGGATTCTGAGATACATTACCAAGGATATTATTACAAGATAAATCATTTGCTTCATTGAACACATACAACAATGCATATTTCCACTGAGATCAGTGACCTTTGATGTGTATCACCAGTGATCAGTCAAGTAGAAACAGTCAAAATATTTTATCAGATTTTCTCAATTTTTGCATGATATTTTCATACAGGACATCTGTTGTTCAAACTCAGGGAAGACTTTATACTGATGAATAAGGTGACCAAGTTTGATAAAGTTTGGAATAGAATTAGTAAAGTTATTATGCACACAATAACAATTATTAACGACGAAGACAACAACAACGACGAGGACGACGACGACAACGCCGGACAAAATTTTTCACTTAATATACCTTTCCCTTCCATCTTTGATGGTACGGGCAAGGTAACAAGAAGCTTATTAACTAATGTAGGACTGCAATCCACAGTATACAAACAAAAACCCTCATTAAAGCAAAAGGAATCAATTTCTTTCTGGTTTGCTGTCTGCACCAAGTTTAATTGAAGTGTTGTTTGAGATATCAATAAATTGCCTAATTGCGAATGAATTTCAATCATAAACAAATCAATTCCATGGATTTACCCAAAGATCTTATTAAGTTTATCAAGAATTAAGCATAAGCATGTCACATGTTACACATTTTGTCTGATGCCTTCATTAAAGGATGCATATATAGCCATCTGATATATTAGTCATGTCTCTTGTCTGATGCCCTCGTTATAGCATTGGTTGCATTGACATTGACGATGAGAATATATTCAGCATATTTAATTTAAATGTGAAAAAAGTTGAAAATTAACTGATTATTTTGCAAATTATTTAATAAAAAATAAACAGGTCTTCAAATTCTCTCAGGGCATCTATGTACCAAGTTTCATTGAAATGTGATGATTAATACTTGGGATATTGTTGGAACAGATGAACATAAATACATAAAGGCAGATATACACACACTCACAGACCGGGCAACCGCAAAAACTTCCACTGTGTGCTTCATACACTAGAGTGTGAAGTACGAGGATAGCTGTGTCAACACTTAAATAATTACTTAGTATGATAAATTATGGAATAACAAATCTAACAAATCTAATTGGCGACTAATTATTTGGATTATATTTTAGTTACTACATTATACAAAAATATGTTTAGAGAAATAACACATTTTTACTTCTGGTCCAATTTGACATAAAATATACCACGAATATTTACTTTTAAGATATAATTTTTGGTATGTGTTGGTTCTTGGATATTTCAGCGCGTCCGCAAAGACGGGGAATAAAATGTTACATTATTGTCGCCATGTTTATTTATCCCCGACTATTCCCTCACCAATAGGGAATCTTACATCACGAATATTTGTTCTCCTGGAGTGTGTAATAAAACTGTTTGTGTTGTTTTGAGTCGCACTGGCACTGCGTTTCCCGAAATTTTGCCAATATCGAATGGGTCGCAATTATTGTAGCTATAATCGAGTTTTCGTCGCCGGAGTGATTCACGCTCCACATTTTGGTTCTCGGGCGCATCGAAACAAAAAATAGTTATCTAACCGCTGGGCTGAATTAATGATATTACCAAAAAATCATGGAAGATTGGGCGAAAATCTGAGGTTATTTGACATCGACCTTTTTTCGCTCGGAAACGCAGGGGCGATAAGATTCGATTTTCAAAGACGCAGGTCATTTGGATCGGACGGTTTCTTTTGTTTAAGTTCGCTGTATGCCTAGAAACATAGCAACGTTGTTTTTGGTTAATATAGAACATGTTCTGTTCCAATAAAGGATTTTGAAATGCGAATCGGACAATTTTAACAATTTCTTACAGGAACGTCTCTTTTATAAACAGTCCTCTACTTTCCAAAATTTGACAATGGCACTAGCCCAAAATGGATTTTCTGTTCTATTCCTGTTCCAACGCGTCTTTGATTGTTACCTTACGTAGAGAACACTCTGATACCACTAAGCAAATAGATGGGAATACTAGTTACATCCATCACTCATGGAGATTGATGATTCGATTGCTGGTCGCGATGGCTGTATTTTAATGTCCTACAAGTGTTTAAACAATGGCTAGATTCTTTTCTAGTGTCTTTGATTAAATCGAGCACGCTAATTTTCTTACGTACCCGCCACGACATATTTGGGTATGCTAATTTTATATTCGACAAAGCAAAATTCGCATTATGCTACTTGTTAAAGAATGAGTTCAATGTATCTAACAACGTCAAGTTTCATTGGTAAAGTTAAAAAAATATGGCTCCAGCTAAACTTGCAATCGGGTGGTTCTATGATATTGATGATTTCTATGATTTGTTTGTCGATTTCATCATGATCTATCTAAACCTCTTCAACAGTTGGGATTTAATGAATGCAATAGTGCAACAACTAAAAGACACCTTTCCTATTTTGTTTTTCTTTCTGCATAATTAACTGAAAACATTTGATCTGACAGGCTAGATACCTGTGTTTGGATCTTTTAGTGTCGCGTTGAACTTTAACAGCATGGCTACTTGTGCGATTAACTGTACTTATTACTACTATATTTATTCAAAATGTTAACAATCCCACATTTAGTAATGTCCTAATTTATACTTACTATGTATGTACCTTTGTTTCAGACAAGAAATGTGATTTGAAACAATTGGTGTGATTTTGGTCCATGCTTCCACTGGATGATTCATTATATATCAACTTCCATAAAGAAAGATTTCCAAAGTCAGCAACATGTCTAAATACTTTGACATTGCCAGTTACGTCAGATTATGAGCATTTCATGTTGTTGGCCATAAAGGAGACCAATTTTGGTTTAATTTGACAAAATTATTTGGGGTTTCTAATTTGTTTAAATTGTTATCATCTTGTCTCCCAGTCACTGATAACGACAAATTTACTTACACATCATTTTTGGTTCCAAATACAATGGCCAACCATGTTATTGAAAGTTGTTTAAAAAGAATTCAGACAAACATATTGTGTCACATTTCTTTGTATTTGTTTGACTGTGTGTATACGTGCAAGCTGTGTCTCCTTTCACAGGCAGTGTACAATCAGTGTCTGCTGCAATTTGTGTGTACATTGCCCTCCTCAAGTCAGTCCATGTAATAAAATGTAAATGATATTCAAGTATTTATTTTTTATTTCATTGCGAAAGTCATATCGCACAAAATGCAATAGCCAATCAGAAACGGCCTTAGATACTGCAAAGTGGAAATGTCATATTCATGATATGCAAGGCCTTCTCCAATTGGTTGACCAAATATTTTTGTTCAGATCAGTAAGTTCCAGCAGAAGTTCACTTCAGAATAGTGAGCAAATGGTTCTCCACTCTCAAATATATATCTGGGTCACAAAAATCACCACCATAATCATCATTTGTGTGCATACATCCAAAGTGTCTCAGCCCGTTCTAATCTATGTTATTCACATTATCTGTGAACATTTAACATACTGAATTCTAATGTTGATGTTTGGAGGAATTTTAGTTCTGTATTGTCTGTTACTCCCCATAACTGGATCTGGTTTATGTGATCTTTTGGTCACTCATAGTTTAATCTGCAGTGATATCTATAGTTTACATCACAACCACATATTAAGTGCTAGTAGCTCATACTGTTCAAAATTTTTGCATTTATTGCTCAAAGTTATTTCGTTAACCTTTGAGCACCATTGTCACCTTTAATGGTTCTAATGGGGCAATGGGTCGTATTTAAAACTTCTGCCAGAGCAAATTCACAAATCA